CCTCCTGAAGTCTAGGGCTACCGCCTTGCTGCGGGCCCTTGACACCTTACGCTGCATGGCGAATTCCAGCAAGCGATGATCACTATTGCCCAGGTGGTCAAGAACTTGGAGGCCCCTTACCAGGTCGTCGCCTGCGGCCAGGACCAGGTCCAACAGGGCACCTCCTCTGGTGGGACTGTGCACCTCCTGAATCAAGTGGAGGTCCTGCATCTCAGCCAGAAACCTCCTGGAGCGGTCTGTCCCGGCTGACTGCTCCTCCCAGCAGATGTCTGGGTAATTAAAATCGCCTATTGGCTCTAGTTGTTTGGAACGGAAGCTATTAGATCAGATTTAGAACATGCCCTTTCCTTTCCACACTGCTCCCCACCTCTGCTCACCTCACCAGACACACAGATGCTCTTGCTAAATGTTAGGCCATGTGATATTTAAGTGTGGCATGTCAGTAACCCTATCTACAAAAGTGCCTTAACATCACAGCAGGGAAGAGTGGCATGGAAATGACTTCCATTTAGCCCCAACCATGCTGAATCCTGTGGTTTCCTAAAGCTTTCATTTTCAGAGTCTTACAGCTCTTATTTGCAAAGTATATTTAATGCATTTTAATTAGATTTATCTTCATACAAGCATTAACCCAGCTCTAACTTGAGAAGTGACTGTTAAAAAGCATGTGGGGTTTTGCACTTATTTCCACCATTTCCAGATCACCTCATCCATATTTTCTTATTGCTATTACTGCAAACTCTTCTGAGAGTTTGAAAGTCAAGCCAGGTCCTTTTGTGATTTATACAGCATCTGTAAAAAAGATGCTGCTTTTGAAGCTTGGTTAGGACCTCTGATGCACATGGCAGACAACAGTTTAGCTCTTCTTTAGCTGTATTGATTCTGTTGTTTTACCTGTAGTAAAAACTTGAGTCAGTCAAGTCAGTGGATATTAAAGTCCACACACAGGAAGTGCTGTTTTAACAGACATGTTTCAGGGTGGAAAATCCCATTTTTAAGAGGACTAGATCCAGTTTAGGCATCCCTGTTCACACATGATGCTTTGACTAGGAGTTCTCTGTGACAGCAGATCTGCCATCATGTTGAGCACTTCAGCGTTAGCATTTAGTATCTGCATTTAATTGGCCATCTTGCACATTTGAGAGCAAGCAGCAGGCATGCAATCCATCTTCAAAAAAGGGAAGAGAGAGGACCCGGGCAACTATAGGCCCATCAGTCTTACCTCTATCCTTGGGAAACTCTTTGAGAAGATCCTCAAGGAGCACATCTGTGATGGGCCGGCTTCAGGGATGATGCTCAAGGGCAACCAGCACAGTTTCATTAGAGGCAGGTCATGTCAGACCAACCTGATTGCCTTTCATGATCAGGTCACAAAGGCAATGGATGCAGGTGTTACCGTGGACGTAGTCTTTCTAGACTTCAGCAAGGCCTTTGACACCGTCTCCCACCCCATCCTCATTAAAAAACTAGGCGACTGTGGCATTGATGCCTACACAGTCATATGGATTGCAGATTGGCT